GCCCCCCATGCAGCGTGGGCCAGTGGGGATCATCCCGTGCCTGGAGTACCTGGTGAGCACTGGGGCTTTTCTTTAAAGTACTGGGAGCTAGGGCAGGCAGGGGCAGCCATGGGGGAGCTGGAGGAGCAGGCAGGGGTCGGGGGAGCTGGGAGAGTGGGGAGGGTCAGGGGGGCTGGCAGGGGCCCCCCCATGGTCCCCACCCCTGCCCCTAGTACTCACCAGCTCAGTGGCTGCAGCTGCCTGCTGCAGCCACCGAAGACTGTCCAAATCATCAAAGGTCTCCAAATTTTTGTTGAAGATTTAGAGAGCTTTGAATCAATTCGGACCTTTAAATTGGTCCCCTGATTCAATTCGGATTTGGAGATTTGGTCACCGAATCGGGCTGAATCTCCTCCGACTCAAATCAGCACCCGAAGCTTTGCACAGCCCTATTATCTAATTGGTGGCACCCTATTATTTCCATCACCAAATCTCCAAACTTCTAGATAGTCTGATTCTAGGGCACCTCCACCATATGTGGTAAAACCTTCCCAGCTAACTCCAACACCTTCCAACCCTCCAACAATAAAGTCCTAAGCACAAAGTCCTGCACTTAGGACAGAACAATCCCATGCACTGGTAAAGCCTGGGAGCTGACTGGCTGGGCAGCAGCTCATCGGAAAAGGACCTGGGGGTTACAGTGGACAATAAGCTGAATAAGAGCCAACAGTGTGCCATTGTTGCATACTAGGTTGCATTTGTAGGAGTGCTGCCAGTAGATCAAAGATCGTGATTTTTCCCCTCTACTCAGCACTGGTGAGGCCACATCTGGAGCACTGTTTCTAATTTGGGCCTCCCGCTACAGAAAGGATGTGGACAAGTTGAAGAGAGTCGAGAGAAGGACAACAAAAATGGTTTGGGGGCTGGGGCACATGACTTATAAGGAGAGGCTGAGGGAATTGGGTTTATTTAGTCTAGAGAAGAGAAGACTGAGAGGGGATTTACTAGCAGACTTCAAAAACCTGACGGGCGGCTCCAAAGAGGATGGAGCTGGACTGTCCTCAGTGGTGGCAGGTGAGAGAACAAGGAGCAATGGTCTCAAGTTGCAGCAAGGGAAGTTTAGGCTACATATTAAGAAAAAACATCCTCACAAGGAGGGTAGTAAAGCAGTGGAACAGGTTACCCAGAGAAGTTGTGGAATCTCCATCCTTGGAGGTTTTTAAGACCTGACTAGACAAAGTCTTGAGTGGGATGATCTAGTTGGGGCTGGTCCTGCTTTTAGCAGGGGGTTGGACTAGATGCGACCTCCTGAGGTCCCTTCTGTGTTATTCTCAAAAGACCAAGGAGTTAAACTTATAAAACGATAAAGTTATTTATTCCGAGAGCTTTCTTAGCCTAGTCATCTGCTATTCCCTCCTGCAATCCCCAGGCCAATATAACAATTTATACATAGCACTCTTAAACGTAGCCACACATCTTCCTCCTTTGCATGTAACTTACCCCCATATAATACTAACACTGGCAGTATAGTTCAACCCATAGTTAAAGCCTGTTTTAACAGGTCTGTATTAGTCTTTATGTTGCCTTTTTAGCTCTAAGTGATCTTCTCAGTTTCTCTGCATTCTCAATCCCAATTGGTTCAGTTCCTGTTTGGTTTCCTCGTTCAGATGTTCTGTGTTGTTTTCAGTCTCCTCTATTGCGATGATCTTCCCAGGTCCCTTCCAGCCCTAATGTCTATGAAATCTATTGCTTCTTATTGCTTTGATGTTAGCTCTGTTTCCTTCAGTGAATCTTCTAACGCTGCTTCTTTTCTCCCCTTTCTGAGCTGCAAGTGTTGTCTGTTCCTTCTTAGCACATGTCCTTCTTGTATGACTACCTGATAGGATCTGGGAGCTACCTGGTGGGAAACTAATGCTTTTTGTTTCCATGTTTGTCCATCTGAAATAAGCAGGACATCTTTGTTGTGCAGTAGTGTAACCTGGAACCTCTCTGGAACCCCTGTCATGTACCATTTTTGTTTGAGTTTGTTGAACTTTTTAAGTGTTTTCACGTCTTGTTTTTCATTCGGATGAGCATCATCCACAAGATGTGGCAGCCTGGTTTTGAGTTTCCTGTTAAACAGCATTTCTGCTGGGGACAATCCATGTTTCATGGGTGTTGCCTTGTAATTTAAGATTGACAGGTAAACATCAGTGTGTGAATCTG